TCATCAGACTGAAGAAGTCTCTTGGTGGAGCGACGAAACGTTTCAATAAAGAAGAACCCATCCAGAGGACCTACTTGTTTTTTTCTTTTTGAAAACCAAAAATGTTAAATTAATGAATGAGTTCCAACATCAACTCTGAGTTTAGCTCTGGTTTACTGACAGAAAGGAGAAGCAGTGGGATCAAAAGTCTTGAACACGTCTTTAAGTGTCCGGTCATTAAAACAGTTTTAAAACAATAAAACAACATGGAAGATAAAATATATCACACAACACAACATTAGACGTGCTTTGCTGAGGATCAGTAATGAAAGGTACCAGTTGAATGAACAGCTGGGGATTGTGGGGAAGGTTTGACTTCAATCGACTGTTTTTTGGGGGTCCTCAGCTGTGCACAAGGACAGACCCTCCCTCTCCTCTTCTCCGCTGAGTGATTAAATGGCCCCTCAGATTAAATTAGTCAATTACACTGAGCATCCCGCTCGCCCGCTGACGGGACCTCTTGAGAGATTAGGGTGCTGACTGTTGGCACCCCAGCTGACCCCGAGCTGCAGCGGTGCTCTGAAAGCGTCCACACCACGCTGCTGTTTCAGCACTTTTGTTGCTCCTATAAAGCTTTTGTAAACACGGTTACCCCCTCTCCCTCGGGGGTTACAGCAAGCTGGAGCACAGTGCAAATATGATGTGTGGACTCTGGTTGGACAGGAAGCCCTCTGGCTGTCGTCAACCTTGGATTTTTTAACCTACGACGTGTAAATAAACCCAAATGTTCATGTGCTGCAAATATGTAAGTTCTAATTTTAGAAGAACTTCAATGAGCTTCACATTGATTTTAAACGGGGAGATCGGGGTCAGAGTGCGACGACCGGCAGAGCTTTCGTCGGTCCTGCACACCAAACGACTCGACGTGCACAGCAACAGTTCTGTCCTCAGAGATAGGAGATAGGGTGAAGCGTTACTGTGGGAAACTATTCAACAAAGTTTTTTTTTTTCTTTTTTTTTCCTGGCTTTGTCCCGATGAACAGTTGGTCAACAGAGTTCAAAGCCTCTACATCTCATGTTCTTCTGTCGTTTCTTAAACCGACCTGCCTCTCTTAGCTAAAACATACAATTCTTAAGACAGAGGGTTTCGCCTTGTTTAAGATCTTCAGAGAATAAATCTGTCAGTTTCATGTCTCTAGACACACTGTCAAAAAACTTATGGAATTTACTTTAATCTCCATCTTAGCTTTGCTAGTTAGCGTGGTAATCCCAAAACATAAATCTAAGAATGAACTGGAATGTTTTCTGCTAGTTTTCTGTCCTAAATCAAAGAGAAACCCTAAAGAAAAGTCAGAAGTCAAAGGTCATTAGAGCCTCTATCCTCAAGAGAATCAATGAATTTCACTTTATATCAGTCAGGACTAACGTGAGGCGCAACCGTCTGAAGTGTCTCACTTATGCAAACGACCATTCATCACCCAAATAAAAATACGTTTTCCAGCACATCAAACTGCTGAGAGTTGTTGTTATTGTGTTCCATGTAGCACAAATCATCTCACRCTGTCCCATTCTGAGTTCATGTTCTGCCCTCGAGAGTCTGACTTGAAAGTCAGTGTTCATTATGTTCYGGCTGTTGTCTAAGTCATAACATACAGTATTTATTGGGAATTCTGACTATTTTGTGATGTTGAAACATGGGATTTGTTATTTGCACCATATTGCATCATGGTTCTCACTGCTTTCATTGTTTTTTCGTGTGTTTCTGTGTTGTGTATGAGTGTGACTCACCCGGCCCTGTTGTGTTCCAGCTGGTGTTRGAGGCTCTCCACAGTCAGGAGCCGCGGGGTTACGTCGTTGGCTGGATCATTGCCATCAGTCTCCTGGTGGGAATCCTCATCTTCTTGCTGTTAGCTGTGCTGCTCTGGAAGGTAAAAACACACAAAACAAAAACTTCTGTAACGAGACAAACGAGCATGTTCTGCAAAGATGAAGTGTAAATGCTGAGAACTGAATGGCTGCTCAAATTTGTTAAAAGCTGTAACTGAAATGGTAACGCTAAAACAATCAGAACAAAAACTAAAAATGACAAAACAAAAGCTAAATTTAGTAACATAATCTGAAAGCAGAAGCCAGCAAAAATAATAGCCAAAAATAATAAGAGTATCTAAAGTGATTAACACAGGAGATATAAATTGATTTGATTTGATTTACTGATTTATTCATTTAACAGGAAAAGATTACTAAAAATCAAGCCTGACTCAGCATAATTGCTGTTTTACAGCAGGTTCKTGTTCTGCAGCACATAAAACACTCAGAATTACAGCATCACAATCACATCATTATACACCATAGACACAAAGACAAACAAGCATACCAAATTTCAGGAAGGCAGCATTTGCAAAATAGGACGTCTAAATATGAGCACAACAAAAAGTGTCCAGAAGATGGCAGACAAGATTCTTCTTAAAGGGCTGTAGTTTTGAAATGGACTTTATGTTTTGAGGAATGTCATTCCATGCTTTAGTATAAACATAGAAGAAAGACCTCTGGCCGTAACAGTTTTTAAAAGTTGGTAATATCAGTTGTCCTTTTGTAACAGATCTAGTTGAATGACCAATTCAAATTAAAATAAGAGCAGCAGCTAAAGTTTAAAATAGGCAAAATGAGCTAAACAAAACTTGAATGCAAACACCAACGTAACGGTAGCTGACAGCCAAAACTAGCAAAATGGTAGCTAAAGTTATTGAAACAGCAGCTATAAGTTAAAGTAAGAACAGTCGCTAAAATCTAAAATAGGCAAAACTGTAGTTAAAAGCTCAAATTTGCTAAACAAGTGTTGAATGCAAAACCCAACAAAACCATTGCTGACGCTAAAAATAAACAAATGAGTAGCTAAAATTATTAAAACAGGAGCTATAAATTAAAAATGAAAACAGTAGCTAAACTCTGAAATAGACAAAACAACAGTTATAAGCTAAAATTCGCTTAAAATAAACTTTGAATTCAAAAACCAACAAACAGGAGCTGACAGCCAAAACTAGCAAAATAGTAGCTAAAATTATTAAAACAGGAGCTATAAATTAAAATAAGAGTAGCTAAAGTCTAAAATAGATGAAACATCAATTAAAAGCTAAACTAAACTTGAACACAAAATAGTAGCTAAAAGCTAAAATTTGTTGCACAAAGGCTCAAATTAGACCATTAATTGAAGAGATCTCAGTGCATCTCTTTGATAAATAATTTAAATGAAGTTAAATAAACCAAAAAGTATGAAATATTTTTAAAAAATGTCATAGCTGGAATTTCCTGAACAAGTGGAATATTGTGCTTTATCTTAATGAGTTCTTCTCTGTTGAAACATTGTTCCGTCTCTTCTCCAAGAGACTTCTTCAGTCTGGGGAGTTACAGGAAAACGTAACCTTAAAAGAGGACCATCAGCCTAACCATCGTTAGAGCCCTGATGCTGAAGTAGTTACAAGCAAAAACACATACGGAAGAAATAATAAAGAGGAAAACAATAGTCTGAATGCTGCCTCAACGTTCTCACAATAAACACAAGACAGAAAGCCGTGTGACAGCCAGGAGCTCAGTGTTTACCTCTGATTAGATGTCAGCACCGTATCCAGTTGAACGGAGACAGCTGGAGGTCAGGGAACGATGTGGGGGTGAGAGCTTGCTTTAGGCCTCTGACAGCCATGAAAAGGACAAATCACAGACAGGACAGTAATTCACACCGTGGCACTCACATGGAGGAAGAATTTAAAGTGGAAACGGCAATCGCACTGATATCCAGAGGCCCTGTTCGCACAAAAACTCCTTTTCCTTTTCTCCCCTTCATCTTCCACTGGGAATAACACAACTAAACCTTGGAATGTTGGTCCAGGGATGCCCCCCCCCCACCCCCACCCCTACTCCCCAAGTCCTCAGATCCTGCCAAAATAAACCTCATTTACAAAAACGGCACATGTCCTGTGTTGCTCTTATTGGGAAATGCCTGAGGGGAGCACAGGCCTGTATCAATAAAAGTTCYTAGCCAAAAGCAGATAAATGAATGAAATCGTAGTGAGAGAGGCAGCAAAGTCTTTTCATTCGTCCAGATTCCCTCCTTTTACACTTACTAAATGCATATTTTAGCTTTGTGTAATGTAAACAGGTACATCGTATTACATTCTTAAAGAAACAATATGTTTCTACCAGAGAAGTTCTTGATTTGCTCCTTTACACGCTCGTGGTTTTGCATGATTTTGTATGCAAACTTCAAATTATGGATTCTGGTGGAGACGAAGGCATGATGTTTAAACTTTCTTCCCCTCCAAGGACTTTTACTGTTTTCCTCTTGCATTACTGCAGGACAACACTCAGTTTTCAGTGATTTCGCTTAAAGATATACTTTCATCACGTTGAACTCAGGGTTGTACTTGTTAGGCAGTCTAGCATTTTATTGTGTGATTGTGTGAATGACATTATTTTTTCTTCTGTACATTTTTTGGCACGTATCTCATTCTGCAGTTTTTCAGCTATTTTTACAATTCATATATCAAAACGTTCAGCTCCTTCAGGACTTTCTGGCTATGACTTTTGGTATTTCAGCTTTTTTGTACGTTTTTAGCTATTTCACTTTTTCAGTCATATTTTTCCCATTGAAAATGAATGGAGCTGTTTTTAACATCCTTAAAATCCTTCAAAATGTTTCTAAATCTTTTCAGCACCTTTTGTCCTGGTTCTGTTCTTTTGAAATTCCTTGTGCAAATTTTAGCTACCTATTTGCCAACTTTAGCTTTTTTCTGCTATTTTAGCTATAATTCTGCTTCTTTCTGCTATTCTTCTGCTATTTTCTACTTTTTTGCATTTCCTTCTGCTTATTTGAGCTATTTATGCTTCTTACAGTTGCTATCTGCTATATTCAGCTATTTGTTGCAATTTTAGTTGTTGTAAAGTTATTAGCTAYAGTTAGCTTTTTAAGCTAATTTCACATTTTGGTGGACTTTTCAGCTTAGTTCAGCGAACTTGTGTTTTATGATTCCTTATGCTAATTTAGGAATTTCAAGCTGCATTACTGCATATTTTGGCTGTTTTACATATTTAACAAGTTGTCGCTTTTTTGTACTTTTATGCATTTTTCCTGCAAACTAAACATTTTTATACCCCCTTTCACCATCTTCAAATTCAAATTCAAAAATACTTTATTGATCCCAGAGGGAAATTTGGTTCTAGTTTCAACTTGTCTGCTACCTTTAGCTTGTTTTTAAGCTAATTTTAGCTTTTTCTGCTTTTTCAGCTATCTTTTCGCTCCTTTCTCCTATTTTTCTGATAAGTTAAACTTTTTTATGCTTCTTTCAGCTTTTCAAATTGAACTTGCAAAAACTGTTTTGCTATTAAACATTTTAGCTCCATTTCAGCAGCTTTCAGCTAAAGTTTTCAAAACATTCACATTAGCATTTTCGCAGGAAATGCAGTTTCTCTAGTTGTTTTTGTAATATTGCAGCTAAAACAATGTTCGTTTGTTTTTTAGAAAAGGTTTTTCTTTAAAATCCAATCTTCCTTTGTCCTTTTCTCCAACAGATGGGATTTTTCCGTCGGCGCTACAGAGAGATCATCGAGGCTGAAAAGAACAGGAAAGACAGCGATGAAAGCTGGGACTGGATGGACAAGGACCACTGAGACGTTGAAGCTGTGTCGGGGGGAGGGAGCGGGTCCCAGAAGAGCCAGTGAGATTAGTGATTGGGTCGAGACGGATCCTATAGCACAGGGGGTGTCGCAGCCCGGCCGCCCCAGTGGCACCAGATCCTTCATGTCTTTCATATGTGGAAGAGAAGTTTATCCTCCATATTTTTTGGAGACTCTGTATTTTCGTGCAGGTGGTGGAGAATAAGGGGGCGGGGTTTCTGCTCAGTGTGGCTGCTCTGTGATGGCAAGGAGCCACATCTGCATGGAGAGGGCTGCGGAGACGTACTGATGGACAACAAAACCCTCAGGGCTGTTATATAGTAAATTTATTTTTATACACACACTTTAAGCCATATTCTAAAACCGAGCTTCGGGGTTTTGGCTGCCATTATAAACATACTGTGTCTGTGGTATGTTTTCTTAAAGCACTGATGTTTGATAAGAATAAATGCCTAAGCTTTGTGCCAAAGATCTGGTGTACAGAACACGATTGGATTTGTTTTGTATTTTCAGCTCATCCCATCGCTGGGAGCAGAAGATTGAATCTTTTCTGTACCGTTTTCCTGCTTTTTATTTCACACYTGTAAATATCAGAAATAATCAGAGATGAGTCTGTCCATTAGATAATTATGTAAAAGAAAAAGGTTTATCTAGGATGAGTAGAAAGTTTTCTATCATGTGTCAATTAACTGTACTGTAGAGCTCTCTGGTGGTATTTTATTTGTGATTTTTCCTTTTATGTGCAAATGAAAATATGACCATCAAAAATACAAGTTTTAAGCTTTTTAGTTTGTCTGATTTGATTCGTTAGTTTTAATTATGAATAATAATTTACAATAGAGGACTAGTTTCAGTCAGTTATAACAGTATTTGTTTTAAATAGCCTTTATATACAGCGTACAAAACCTCCTGGAATTCTTTTATTATTTTTGGTTTTGGTGTTCCACCCCAACATCAACAGTGGCCCCAATCTGACCACCTCTTATTAAAACTTTCTGGAGTCGCCCCTGCTTTCAAATCAGATTAAACGTGCAGTAGGACCAAAGTATTTGAAGCTACTCAGTTCATTTTTTTTCACCTAAACCCCACAAATCTTCCGCTCTGCTGTTTTAACTCCGAAACCTTTCCCGACCTCACCCCAAGCAGACTCCATTTTACATTTACACGTGTATTATTAGGCAACGGGTGAAATATGGGATCTCCACGGACAGATGAAAGTCAGCATCAGGAATTTATCTTTCTTTGCAGAAGCTTCTGGCCTGAATAACGCTCGAAAACTATGTGGAAACTTTTCTGCACTCAGTCACACAGGAACAAGCTGTTTGAAAGGTGGACAGATGTCTGCGTCCAGAAAATGATTCACTGCTGACGTCCTCGTGTTGCTAAACGCTGAAGCTAATTATGAGAGCTTTGAATCTTAGGTTTCATTGTGAAAATTTGTTTTTAATTAAAAGTTTCCAGCAAAATGAGGACATATTTTACATTTCTGATGAGCCTACTAGAATACTAAAACATAAGAGAAAAAAATCATTTATACATGTTAAAACTGAGAAAAGCCCATCAGGTGAATAACACGGCCCAGTCAGAAAAAAAACCTGCTTAGTTCTGACTTTCTYTAGCGATCACTATCGTTTCACGCTCGTGTTAAATCTTGGCATTATTAAATTCCACTGGCATAACATTATATACTGTACACTTTTACACCTTCCCTTTGCACCAATTTTAAGGATGTTATACTAAATGTATGCAATAAACCAACACTTGACTTTTATTGTTTCTGTAAAATTATAACTGTGATGTTTGTTTCCACCTTTGATCACGTCGTTATTTGTACTTGTGTTCTGAGTAAACTACTGTCAGTATCATTTCTGTTATAGTGTGCTGTACATGTTTGATGTTTAAAGTCATGTTGGAGCTGTGTATTTATCTGCTGATAAATTTCAGAGTGGAATATCCCAACTGTGTGTGTTCAGTTTTTACCTGGTTTAATGCATTTTTTTCAATGGAGTTTGGTGCTCTCTGCTGGCCACTGCAGTTAAACTGTAAAAATAAGTCTTTTAAATTTCCTTTAGAAATATGAAAAGAGGAATGTGTCTGAAGATTGATGATGTTCTCAGGATTATTCCAACATTGTGGAGAATAAAAGGAAAAAAGACTGGTTGGTTGGTTGGCTGGCTGGCTGGCTGGCTGGCTGGCTGGCTGGC